CTGGAAAAGATAACTAAAGAAAAAAATAGTCAATCAGAGAAACTCTCCTAAACCACCCTCCTCGGCTTGCCCGCACCTATGACGGAGTAGAAATAATAATAAAAAATGAGTTCGGAGAGAGTGCTGAGAAGGGTGGGCTCCGGTACCCTTAACGATACGAACGCAGATCCTCCTTTATACCAACGCCTCACACCCAGGGCGCCACTCTCGACAAACATTTTCAGCACGAGGTCGTCGATGCCCTTGGTAGTCAAGATGACATTGGCACCCGGCCTTGAGAATCATCTCCACCCTGTCGATCACCATGCCAGCCTCGCGTGCGCGGATCTGCTCGAGCCCCCGGGGATCGTCAACGGTGATCTGGACGCCGAGCTTCATGCGCTCCTTCTGGAGGTTCATGTCGAGAACGGCAATCTTAGCATCTTGTATTCTGGTGGGCATGGCCTGGGAGGCGACTGTGCAGTTGAGGGCGTAGCCCTTGATGAGGACCGACTCGAGGACACCCTTGCCGTGGGCCTTGAGGATGTTGACAGCCTTGACGGGGTACTTGCTCTCGTTGCGGTTGTTGGTCGTCTTGACGGACTGCATGGCGTCAACGACCATGTTGGCGAAGAAGTCGGAATCGGCGCCGATGATCTTGCTGGACATGGACGTCTTGGCGATGTTGATGAGGGAGTCGCGGCCGATGTTCTCAACCTTGGTGCTGATGTTCTCGTTCATGTACTTGACCGCCTCGCGCAGGGCGAGCCTGTAACCAGTAATAATGGTGGTCGGGTGAATCTTGTTGTTCATGAGCTCGTTGCCCCTCCGCAGCAGCTCAGACGCGATGAGCACGACCGATGTGGTTCCATCGCCGACCTCCTTGTCTTGTTGTTGCGCCAGGTCGACGAGGATCTTGCCGGCAGGGTGCTCGACGTCGAGGAGGCTGAGAATGGTCGCGCCGTCGTTGGTGACGGTGACGTCCTGGGGGAACGGGTCAGCTCAGCTCAACGTCCAGGGGAGGGGAGGAGGGGGGTTGGTCAGCAGCGAGCCAGGGGAAGGCATACACCAATGTCGTCGACCATCATCTTGTCGAGGCCGCTGGGGCCGAAGGAGCTCTTGACGACATTCGCAATGGCCTGGGTCGCAAGGACTGAAAGAAAAAAACGTCAGCAAAAAAGGAAAAGAAAGAGGCATCACGGAGATGCAAGTTGCGAGCCTACCGTTCTGGTCTCTGATATCACTGCCAGAGATCTTCTGGCCGCCGAGGAACAGGGTACCGCTCCCGGACTGCTCGAACATGGACGCCATCGTTCAAGGTGTGCAGGAAATCCGATAATGGGTGATGGAATGGACTGCCGACGTCGGTTGTCGTGGGGAAGCAAGCTCGGATTTTTCGTGATGCCCGGTGCTATGCTGAAGGGGGGGTGGGTGGGATCTCCTGGTTCAAGGTCGATTCTGTCTCTGTGCCTGGACGGCGATGGAAGCTCCTGGTGCCGCTACGGACTGTGTGCCGCCTGGCAGCAGCAACTTTTTTTCGGTCGGGCAGTTCTTCCTGATGCCGGCGGGATGTGGCTGATGCTTGACACTCACCGCCTTCCCATTGAGCACAGCTGATTGGGCGATAAAGGTTCAAGCCACAGTACCCCTCAATGCGACGCACAGCCTTGAGCGGGCAGCGGGCAGGCGCGTCCAGGGGCCCTGATCATTTGGGCCAGGCCCTTTTTCGTGCGGTGGCTCCTGCCGTGTTTCTGTTTCTGGTGCGGGGCAACTTTTATTGAGGGACCTCCTCGTACAGTGGAGGGGAGGGGCCAAGGCACATCGTAGTAAACCTCCCGCTGCCCAAATCATTCCCCTTCTTCCCCCCCCCCCTCCATCGCGTGTGTATACCGGTGACTCAGTCCTCCCTTGGGCGTCCCTTTTCTTGCCGCCTCTCTACATTCTTATCTCTTCCAACGACAACACTCGACCATCGTATCCATCCTTGATTGCAATGGCCGATTCCGAGCAGAAGCCCCAGGAGCAGCAGGCTCAGGCCGCCCAGGGGGACCAGCCCGCCGCCCCTGCCGGTCCCTCCAAGAGCGCTCTCAAGAAGGCTGAGAAGCAGGCCAAGATGGCCGCCGATAAGGCTGCAAAGGCCGCCAAACAGGCCTCGCTCCCCGTCGTTGGTGGCAAGAAGACGGACGACATCATCGGCATCACCGTCTCCAAGAGCGAGGACTTCTCTGCTTGGTACCAGGAGGTCGTCCTCAAGGCCGAGATGGTCGAGTACTACAACGAGATTGCCGGCTTTTTTATCTTGCGCCCCGCCTCCATGTACATCTGGAGCGCCATTCGCAAGTGGTTCTCCGACAAGATCGAGCTCATGGGTGTCGAGGAGACGAGCTTCCCCATTTTCCTGTCGTCCAAGTCGCTGGAGAAGGAGAAGGACCACGTCGAGGGATTCGCCCCTGAGCTGGCCTGGGTTACCAAGGCGTAAGAATCTTCCCATCGGCGCAATCCCCACACTCTGCTGACATGCCTTTGTACAGTGGCGACAAGGACCTCGAGGTTCCCGTGGCCGTCCGCCCTACCTCCGAAGCCGTCATGTACCCCTACTACTCCAAGTGGATCCGAAGCCATCGCGACCTCCCTCTCCGTCTGAACCAGTGGAACTCGGTCGTCCGCTGGGAAGCCAAGCAGACCACCCCCTTCCTGCGCACCAGGGAGTTCCTGTGGCAAGAGGGTCACACAGCGCATCTGACGGAGGAGCTCGCCGGCAAGGAGGTTCTTGAGATTCTCGAGCTCTACGCTGGTGTGTACGAGCAGCTCCTCGCTGTCCCCGTCGTTCGCGGAACGAAGACGGAGAACGAGAAGTTTGCTGGTGGTTTCTATACTACCACCGTCGAGGGCTACATCCCATCCAACGGCCGTGGCATCCAGGGTGCCACGTCTCACTGCTTGGGCCAGAACTTCAGCAAGATGTTTGACATTACTGTGGAGGACCCCGTCAACAAGGGCAACCACATTCACGTCTGGCAAAACTCGTGGGGTCTGTCGACTCGTGTCATCGGTGTCATGGTCATGATCCACGGTGACGACAAGGGTCTTGTTCTGCCCCCTCGCATCGCCAAGATTCAGGCCATTGTCATCCCCGTAGGCATCACGGCCAAGTTGGCCGCCGAGGACCGCAAGAAGCTCGAGGAGGGCGTCGAGGACATCCGCCACCCGCTGAAGAAGGCCGGTGTGCGCACCGAGTCCGACCACCGGTGCTACACCCCCGCCTGGAGTTCAACGACTGGAGCTGCGCGGTGTGCCCCTGCGTCTCGAGTACGGTCCCAAAGGACGCTGCAAGGAGCAAGTCAGCTACGCTCGTCGCGACACTGGTGAGAAGGGCCCAGATCCCCATCGCCGACCTGGCCACCAAGGTCCCCCGAGCTGCTCGAGACGATCCAGTCCGACCTCTACACCAAGGCTGAGAAGTCCTTCCGCGAGCACCGCCTCAAGCTGACCAACTGGGACGAGGTTGTCCCCGCTCTTGATGCCAAGAATGTTGTCATCATTCCCTTCTGCCTTGACGGCAAGTGCGAGGACCGCATCAAGGAGATGACCACAAACTCGAGCCCTGAGAATGAGGCTCTTCCCGAGGGCAAGCGTGCTCCCACAATGGGCATGAAGAGTCTCTGCATTCCCTTTGAGCAGCCCGAGGGGCTCGTCGAGGGCGAGACCAAGTGTCTCAACCCCGAGTGCTCCAGTCACGCCAAGAAGTGGGTCATGTTCGGCAGGAGCTACTAAGTGTGCGACGACGGCAAGGCGGGTGACGACGATGGTGAGAGCGGGGACATGAGGTTGTTTCTGGTACACAGGGGATGTTTGGGAGTTCCGGGGATATCCATCAAATGCGGCATGACTCGGATTATGAGACCACGATGGCGGAATTTGTTCATCCTCTGGCTGAGGGCGGGTGAAAGAAGAAGACATGTCAAGAGATGTTGTTAGAGTTCATACAGGAAGAAAAATCCGTTCCATATGTTTTGTGGCAAGTAGACGACACGTGCCCATCGTAACCCTATCACCTCGAGGCTAAATAGTACAAAGGCACAACATGTCACGTTGTAATCATCGCAGCAAAGCCGATCGAGCGCAAAGCAGATCTCTTCAGACTAATCTTCTCTCTCCTATGTCACTTCACTTCCCCATTGCAACAATGGCCGGCAATCTTTCCACCTTACAGTCCGAGCGCAGAGTTGAAAGCCTGAGCAGCCTGTTCCCCCTCCAACCCACTCGCAGCAGCAGCACCATCTTCGCAAGCAGCGACGGTGGCCTCGCCGGCGCCGCACCGTGAGCCCAGCTGTCCACAGATGAAGCTTGTGATGATGTCGACGTTGTTGGCGCTGCCGTGGTCAAAGTCGCCCGCCGGCCCAAAGCTCGCCTCCGCCCGGCCGTCGAAGCCCCTCGG